TTTCTATCAATGGAAACAGCAATGTACATTATAAAGATCTATTTATAGGAAAAACGTCAGACTTATATTACTGAAGCACAGTTGCAATATCAGACATAGTTAAAATCAGTTCTTTGTCTTTTTTAAATATCATCTTTAAAAAGCCAGAAAGCGTACCTTCATTCCCCCGAGGTTCCACGCCGTTTGTGTGATAGCTATAAAGAGTCTTTCCATCTGGTACAGTGTTGTTATATCTGTAACGTAATTAAATGCTATCAAATAACATTACAAATGCCTATATGACGAAGTCTGAGTAATGAAAGAGAACAAATGAAATGAAGTCACTATTAAGGTGTTATACTACCTTTTCTGTATAGCCCCTTCTTTGATTGTACAAACGGTGTCGCAGTCTGACGTGATTACATCCACTATATCAAAAAATATTAAATAAGATATATTAGGCAGGTATCATACACGGGACACAGTAGATACCAATTCTATTTTTGATACAAATAATAAACAAATTAATTACACTTTTTTTAAATAAAAATTTAGAATAAGAATAAATTTCTCTGCCAACTGATAAAGCACAGTGCACCAAATAGCTGTTGCATTATAGGAGACGACTTAAGGAAATGAAATTTGACAATGTTAAAAAGCAGATATTGGATGCATTAAGCGGATAATAAATATGATTGTTAATTTTCAATATTGGGTGTTTTGAATATGTCAGTCCGTGTGAAATGGTACCATTATTCATGTATATTAAAAACATGACAAGAATAAAAAAAATATCTCGGCCTCTTTAAATTGTCAGTCTCAAATTGTTGTTAAACATGTCTGTTTTGTCTAGGTAGGTATCAATAAAACATCGTATTCCTGTTACTATGAAATATGGTAACAGAATAGGTTTAGATTTTAATTGTTGTTAAAAATTCCGTCCTTTACTTACACAAAATATCGGCAGGATTATATTCGTCTAGAAATGATATTCCGAGACTAGTCAGATAGTTTAGTGCAGAGTCCGCAGGGCCAAAGTATACTACCTGGATTGAAACGGATTATGATGACACAACACCACCGTATTATCTTTTAATAGGGGTTACATGCTCCATAGATCAAATTAGAGTAAACGTGAGTTTAATTTTGCTAACATGAAGTTTATATCTTTTGAAAGACTAAGATGAATTGAAATTGTACAAGTATCATAATGAAAGTTATAACTATGATTGATATCAATAAAACAACACAGAAAAAACTTTTATCGTGAAAGTGCAGATTATATGGACATATTAATCCATATCAAAATAGAAGTTTTTAATCCAATCCTTGTACACAATGATACCTAACACCTTGTGTAAAGGGGAAGACGTGGATGTGTGCTTTACAGACAAATTATCCGACACTCATACATATGTGTATATTCTTTACTTTAATAGATGATGTAGCAAAATACAAACATATAACATAGTAGGACCGTTAGAACTTTGTATCTTATCACATAGCTATTACAATATAGGAGACGACTTGAGGAAATTTGGCCGAAGTCAAGGATACATTATAGATGGGGAAATGTATTAAGCGGATAATTTAATACGTTTAATAATTTTCAATATTGGGTGATTTGAAATATGAAGCTGTGAAACAGTTGTATCTTACACGAGTGGTTGTTAAAAAGAATTTACCTGTCCCTCAAGTAAAAGCAGTAACGGAGCTTTCCTACTTGATTTTATTTTTATGTAAGCATGGCGGGTATTACGCGCACCTCACGGAAAGAAATTGCTTACAGGGGAACTGTGGTGAGTTCTTATGCGTAAGTAATAGTTCTTTTTGTATTATATTAATATTATTTAATTGATGAAATGGTGCTTGAGCTGTAGTTTTTAGAGATCGCGTAGTATCGTTGTAGAATTTTATGGAAGCGCACTGCAACCGGTGCAAGGGAAATTTTAACCCATTTAAACATGCCAAGAGAATCATTTAGCAAAAGTAATTTTAAATGTTAATTATTAACAGGGATAATATCAATTTTATTTTTATTTATTTATATATATTTGTTTATTTTTTATTTATCGAAAAACACATGAGGAATAAATAGATTCATATATACTATCAGTCTATAACTCCCATCGTCACACACTTACAGAGTATAGTCATGCATCATTTTCACCACTAAACACACAGCATTTTGAGTTGCACACTATATCTTAACTATCATAGACACTATGTAACACAATCACTCTAAACATATATTTATAACTTGCAGCCATACTAGCACTCCAGCATTGTTACATATACAAACAACATCAGCATCTGACATCAACGCCATCATATACAATCATCATCCTCATCACACATTTGCATCATCACATACCATCAGCATCATTATGGTCACCTATCAACATTAGCATCATCACACTTCAGCAGCATTACACATCCGCATTATCACATACCAAATCAGCATCGTCACACCTCAACATCATCATATATACCAACATCAGCAGCATCACACAGCAGCATCACACATCCTCATTATCAGCTTCTTCACACACTTTAACTTCCATGCATAAGGATGCTGCAGATTCTTAGACACAGTCAACATCATTATCTTCATCATCAAGCACACATAGACATGCTAATTTCAGTAATTTCTCCATAAACTAGTATGGACTCATAATAAGTGAGCAACTGACAGCTGTCACTATATCACTATAAGATAAATGTTCCTAGATATAATGAAATAGACAAATAAAAAACAAAACATGTGATGATTTTTTTTATAATTCTTTAAACAGCAGACAACTATTAGCTGTTAATAATAAATGTAAATCAATATCAGAAATACTGTCAGTTCTTACCATTGCTTGTGAAGTGATTGATTCTAAGGTGACCGATAAGGCCCATGGGCCTCTTGTTTCTAATCTTAAATTAATTTTTCAATGTATTTTTATGCACAATATGCGTACCTCAAGTGATTTTGCTTATTATTTTAGATTTATGATCTTTACATTTATTTACTTCTTTTTTTTTGTTTGATATTTATGTATTTTATACATCCGTCAAATGACAGGACATATTATGGTATTCTCGTCTTCCATCCGTCCATCTTCCGTCCGTATGTCCCTCTGTTCGTAAACATTTCAATGTCCCAGCGATTTTGGAATTTATTAAGCCTTAACAGATTTCTTTTAACTTTCATTGCAAGCTTAAGTACAATCAAAGCTAGATTGAGTTTGATTTCCATGATTTTTGATCCACAACTTTTAGAGTTACGGCCCATTAATGTCTGTAACCTTTTCAATGTCGGTGCAATAACTTTGCAAAGTATTACGCAATTACCATTGAAACAAATGCAATATATTATATACAGCATAAATAGTGTAGGTGATAGTCAGACAAAATCACAGGCGTATTTCGTGACCTGAAACAGGCTCTTGTTTTTTTTTTTTTTTTTTCGTGTGACAAATTAAAATGATTGTTCAATATATGAATATTGTCAGCATTCCATTATACCTTCATAGATCCCTATTAGGATAAACTGACGGGACAGAGCTTGTTTGTTACACTATCAGAATAATGTAAATCACTCATACTGGTGGAGGAATTACAGTGATTCTAGCATTAAGTTGTATGGTTGCCAATTTATTTGCAGATAAGTCAATACCATTATTACTATTGCAGCCATGGTCTTTTGATGGCGTCGTTAACTTCACCTTGTCAGAATATCCTAATGGGGCAATATTTTGTACATCATGTGAGAAAAAAAAGCATATTTACAAAATTAATAACCAGAAGTAGCAAAATCATAGGGACTTTTCGAAATTATTTTTATTATCTTAATTATCTAGACAAGCCATTGTGGCTACATATAAATATGCAAGTGTTTCTGACTTCGTTTTAAATAAAAAAAATAGTTGTGGAGTGATGGCTTTTGATAATGGATATATGTATATCTAGTTTTGATATATGCTTTATTTGACAAGGAATGTCAATTTATTGTTGTTAATAAAGTTACTGTTTCAATTTTGTTGTCATTGGTCCGTTTTTCCTTGGCCCGGAACTATTTCTGAAGGCGTCTATTTGCATCAACACTGCATCGTCATGCCGGTAATTACGGGCTTAAAATAGATTTTCTGTTGACCAATTTCATTTGACAGATGGGATTAAATCCCTAATGCGTCATATCGAGCGTAATAGCTTATTGGATAAATATTTATAGCAACCTATATTGAACTTGGGGAAACCCGTTCGTCCGCCATGGTGTTTCACGTTGTAATAGCAGCAAGCTGCAAGGTGAACTCGAGTAATTTTACGGATGTTTCCTTTGATTGCTTTTCATTATAACTACTGGAGCATGCATAAAACATCCTTGTGTCGTTGTCACGAAATGTAATAGGTGTAGCAACAACCATTTGTACCTTAACTTTAATAAAAACATGCCAAATGTCGTATCTTTCTAATGGGAAGCCTGTTACGACGGAGATGTGAAGGGGACGTAACTCTTGGCGAACGACAACTATGTTCTGATATGAATGTTAATGATTTCGTCCTTGAGTGACGTCACAGAACAGGTACATGTAATTATAAATAACAATATATATATAGATCTTTATATACATATAAATGTTCTCGGTTTAAGACAGTCTGGTTTATATACGAAAACGTGATTTATCACTTGATATAGCAACCATAAAAATGGCGTTGCTGTCCATTAGAAAACAATACCTACCAGAGTTGTCGTCCCATTCACTGTCGTAATGCACTCTGGGAAATTGTAAGACACTGCTCTTAACAGAACCTATCAAAGCCAGATTAAACAATAAAACTCGATTTTGACAGAATAAGAAGAGGTTTTGGCTCCTAACGTCTGTTCACAAACGAGATTCGGGACTATTTCATTGTTATTTCCTTTTGTTTGTCTTGGCTCCACAATCAAATATATCCACGCTAATAAGAAAAGACAATTAGTTATTTGTAAACATAATTTTATTCGACAAAACAAATAATAAAACATCTCACAACTAGAACATCACGCGATATTGTTGCGTGATGTTTACACCGGAAGTTGAGTCAGATAACTCTATTTTTACCGTATCTGTTACATGCGCAGTCGCACCAGCAACGTGAAGCGTACAACAATTACATTGTTGGTTTCCATAACAAGTGACGTCACTGGTGTAACTATCGTCCCCTTCAACGCGCATGTGCAGTTTTGTTGTGTCCGACACGCACTTGTAACGAATTATCGCTTCATACCCCTGGTTTGGATGAGGATCAGGGGGATTGATGCTAAAGTTTAATATTTTAGGAATTACGTTTATTCCCTTCAAAACTACAGTTTCCGTGACATGCGCAGCACTACTGTTAAATCTATACACAGGAGAACGGACGGTATGTCCGTCCGGAAAAACAACATTAAATATTACATGAGTGTCCTCGCTCACATAGAAAGTTTCCTGTTCCGTGAATAACTCCAGGCACAAGTTTGAGTCAGCTATCATTGCTGCATTATCACAGTAAGATTTTAGAGCGAAATAACCACGCTCGCATGTGTCTTTAACACTCTGCCTCACGTCCTCACTGATATTTTGTCTATCCGTCCGACTAACAAGTGAGGCACAACTTTCTGATATATTAGAAGCCAGCAATCTTCTATTTTTGTGACACACTTTGATTGCTGTCTTTCGGAAGTGATTACATATGCGCAAAGGATGTGCATTTTCATTTGATAATATTTTGTCTGTGTTTTGTTTTGCAGGTAATTTCACATAAAAACTGCCAGGATAATAATCCGCGATTGCCTTATATTCTAGCACAGGCATCATATCTCTGTCACTCTCTTTCACTAACACGCTTGCATATACCGTAGATGATAAATCTCCCTCGCCACAACGCTTGACATCAATTGGGACTTTTGTAAATGTCTTTTTCCATTTTGCATGATTATCATCACTACTTAAAATTTTAAAACTAGCAGATAAAAAATCATTTTCGTTGGTAGGTTCGACAACAGTTCGTGACGACTTTTCGACAATAGCCTCGACTGACTCTTGTTTGATCGACAAAATGGTGATATCCTTTTTCTTTCGTTTCCTTTTTTTCTTTGTATCATTCTTTCTATCTTCGTGATGTGTATCACATGTGTTTAAAACAGTTGAGTCATGTTCGTTTTCTGACGTCACAAGAATAGTACATGAATTAATCCACTGAATACGTTTCCTCTCACTTCCGGTAACAATAATATCTTTGATCTGCTTTCCCTTTTTGACACCAATCACAATCTCGTTTCCAGCTTCGTCACGTGACATTATTTCCGTCACCATTCGTGCTACTCCGTCATCTCGACGCTTGCCTATGATTAAATGCTGATAGAGGTCAAGAGAATGAAATCTTGCTAATCTTGGGTCCATTCTTCCGGTATATAATTTGAACTTTGGCTTCAATTCACTCTCTGAAAAATGAAAACAAAATATTACCGTTTATCGTTAAACAACATAACTGCTTAATGTATCATTACAAAACAGCCATGTTATCTTCAAATATTTATTTCGTTGTGAATAAAGCGAATCAATTAGGATGATATGAGTATTGAGTGTTGTTAGACTGATATCTGATGGTTTGACCGATTATCTTTTCTTTGTTGGTGGTTTGGAGAATGATATCTAATGCATTTTTAGTGTCTTTATCTGAAACAAAACTGTTCACGATCACTATTTTCTAGTTTTAAGTATAACAATACCATGGCGCATGTGTCGGTGAAGTTTGGTTGTTTTGCCACAGTTTCTTAGGTTACAAAGAAATTGAAAATTGAAAACAAGATTCATTACTGTTTTTGAACTCGGAACTCATGTGTACTTTTTCCTCAGAGTGTAACGGAAGTTGAGGTTATGTTTCTTAATTTCTGATTAATTTAATTGAATGCATCTCCTTCCACCTTGAATTGTCTTTAGAATCCAAGAAACTGTGAGGTTACAAACGAACGATGCATAAACACAATCTCAACTTACCACAGTCGCTTTCATTGTCGTAATTTCCTGTACACGTGCAGACATTTCCTGGACCACAGAATCCGTTACCGTGACAACAGAATGCACACCCTGTGAAACAAAAACAAGAATTAGCAAGATGCACGCAAAAGATGCTTACAAGCGTTCTGTCACAGATTGTTCTCTGCTACAAAATTGAAATAAATTTTGACGAACGAAGAAACACTACTGACAATTTCATCGTTAATTTGAATTGATGTATTTAGTGTTTTCTTATGTCAAGAAGAATTCCATTACGAAGTACAAATTTAAAACACTGTGTATCGGTTTTAAAAGCTATCATTACCAGTGGCTGTGTGATTCGTTGAGCACCATACATCTCCGGATTGATTCATTTTTTCTTTAGGTGGAATGGAAATATTTCCCTCTGGAACCACGATGCTGATGTTGGAGAATGTTATATTTCTGATAGAGAGAAAGAAAAAGCATTATATTTTATGTATTAACAACGGTTTTGACAAATGATCAGAAATAATACAGAAGATTAAATCTTATCTATCTGTAATACAGTTATTCAAGTCTGACAAATTACATACAAAATGTTCTCTAGTTTATTGAAATTTTGCTTACCGGAAGTTCTATCCCTGGTTGAATGCAAATTACAGGTAAAATACATGTAATACGTATATATAAGGTAGTATATAGCCTTAACTCTAACAAAATCAATGGGAAAGTAGAGCTTAGTTTTAATTTTTAAAAATTCGTACAATGTTGGCGTTTTATTGACTTTGTGTTTAACCATAGACCACACGTCACACAGACACCACAACGAGTAATGTCAAAACAAAGAGGTGCATTTGTAAAATTACTAACTTTGGGTAATGTATGACCACGTTGCACCTGACGTCACTTGACCTTGGGAACGTATCCACACTGGAAACAAGACTGCAGGACACCACAATGCCTAGCAACAGACCGACTCGGTGATCAAGCAGACTGACCATTACGGCCAACGTTAAACACAATACGTTGACCGACACAAACTTAGCCCCGTTTAGGGGCAAGGACATAAGTGGAAGGGGATCCATGGGATAAATCCGAATTTCCAATTTCCTGGAAGTTAATGAAGCTTTAATCTGTATTTCCGGTTCCGTTTTAGATGTATAACCATGTCTTTCTTGATAAGAAACGGCATAAATCCCAACGTTACCATCGGAGGATTCAATCCATGCGACATCTCCCTGTAAATAAGATTGACAGCACGATATTTATTGTTGTATATATCTTACTTGTTTATAAAGTAATCTGCTATATACTGGACATGAACAAAGGAAAAGAGAACATCTTTGTCAAAAAATATACAATTTGAAAAAAAAAATGAAGCGTCCCCGGGTGGGCTTGAACCACCAACCTTTCAGTTAACAGCCGAACGCGCTAACCGATTGCGCCACGGAGACCTACATACTTGATAACAGAAATTTGTATAAAAGTATTGTTGCCACGCCGTTCAGGTATCGATGACTATGTAGGCTATGTTTATCCAGGGACGTATAATACATGTATTATACATCCCTGGTTTATCGAAGCACATCGTTTTATGTAAAACATGAAAGTATATATATACTGTTGTTTTCACGACTGAAATTATCTGCTAACATATTTTTTGTTTCTTTTGTTTCAAACGGTTCGTTAATTAGCCCAGGTTTCACAGACCACAGGAACTTATCTACTCAAGCAAAAGTTTTAGTACGTTTCAGCTACAGTTGCCTGTGGCAGTATATAGTTGACATAATATTAGGATTCGCAGATCTGTTACGGGAGCCGTATCAGTAAATCGACTGAACAGAGAAAGGTGTTATAGACTTGCACAAGCCCGGTCAGTCCCCATTAATTGTGTGTGCCTTTTTATCAGCTCATAACTTTGAATTGAATTAATTAACTCCTGGGTTCTAAACTTACCGGAAATACAGAGCTGATGTCAACATTTATTCCTTCTGTAGTGTTTGATGATGGAATTTCTAAATATTCTTCATGAAAATAAGCATTCGGAGGGATATCCTTGATTCCCGGCAATTGCATTCCTTCTCCATGGGCCAATTTCCACGCCCCTGTTGAGCAGACTACACTAGCCAGCGTTAAAACCAACAGCATGTTCTGTAAACGAAATTCTAAGTCTCAAAAAGATTTCAAAAGGACGAGATATCAAAGAAAGAAAATGCATTTATATCAGACTGAAGAAATTTGCTATCAAGAACAGGAGCATTTATTAAAACATTAATAATATACTGTCTAATATCTGTACCAATTAGACAGGTGTACATGGCTTTTTTTATGAGCTAAGCATGAAGGAACTCACTTTCTCCAGTCCATTAAGACATTCGTGTGTAAATACAGACAGACGTTTACAGTGAAAGAAATCAATTACGAAAATCGTTTAAACAATATAATGGCATATGGGAAGTATTATTGATTTTCATGCGCACGTGTGATTTACATGCAGGTGGGAAACAATTCTCTGTCGAAGCATGATCCCCAAATGTCAAGAAATAATAATGATCACGTGACGGACGCTAACAGTTATTTCAAATCAGTCATTTAAATGATCTAAAAATAAAACTACCAATCTAGGAACACTTTAGGTTTTTTTCAGTTGTGAAAACAATTATTTAATTTTTTTCTTCATAAATCACACACATAAAGCCGGAAATGAGACATGTTGGCATATTCAACACCTGCACAGTTTCGAGAAAAAAATTCGTCTGTCGCACGATCTTCTATTTTCTGGTTGTAATTTAGCTGTTACATTGATTTCTATTGAACACGTGTTGAATGTTTGTTAGACATCTGTTTGAAGTCGTGGGAAGGATAATTCTATCTGACATTCGAAAAACTGAATATTTATATTCAACTGGCGCTTACATCTATATTTAGGAACGTCTTTCGTTATATTGTCACTTTATACTTTTCGGTAAAATATATTGTTTTCAATTTATCTTATTCAAAACGAGCTCGGAATTTCGCGAAATTTTCTGAATGCTGAGATCTATGACCTAGATTTATTAAATAATAGTAAAATCAAAAGCACGTGAATTACACTTATTTTCGGTAACAACTCTAGATTAAAATACACGTATTCTAAAAATTACATAGTATGAAACACTATTATATACACTGATTAGAAAGTGTGTCGAGCTAAACTTGAATGATATTAAAACATTTATACAGATCCATTACTATCAACTAATTTCATATGCTACTCTTAAAATCAAATTGATGATGTCATTTGTAAGTTTTGAAGCGAGTTATGATATCATGTGACGTAATAAATGAAGTTATCTGTACTTTGTAAATACATCTAACCAGTTCCGCCATGCCCATATGTGCCCTTGGTCATGAATGACTTTGAATCATTAAAAAACAACATTATTTATCTATCAACATATTAGGAAACTTTAAAAATGATGATGTAACAATACGACAACTTCCGACTTACTTCAAAGCAATTCATGCTGATGAACTTAATTCTTGTCAGTTTACGACTTGTTTCAGAAAGTCTAGCCGTCTGTGATGTTTGCGCTATCTGAACACAAAAGATTAACTTTGTCAGTAATTTGTACCATAAATAAGATTTATGACGTGTTTGATACAGAGACATGCTCTTTATGTGTGATAGGTTGAAGGCTATTGTCCCCGCAGGTACGTGGTTTTACATATTTAGCCAGTGGGGGTCAAAGGTTAGCACGTAAGGTGACACGCGCCACCTTGTAAACAAATGCTGACGTAACAGTGGACAAGCATCGCTTATTTATGAAGTGTGTGTGTGTGAACGATACTCTTCGGACAAAAGGTGATAGTTTTAACGAGTGTTCGTTTAACACAGGTAGATGTTTACTCCTAGTGTTAGAATGGACTTGTGTAAATATCATAGTGTTTATTGTCAACAAAAGTCAAGATGTTAGATGTTTATCTTATAAACGACATACATGATGTTCAATTGACCTTGTCACTTGAGAAAATATTTATAATTCAAACATTGATCAAAATTTTTATACATCCTGAAGGAAGATCGATATTTTTCCTATTTCGCAGGGACAGTTGTTCATTCAAAAACAAACTGACATCATTATTTATTTTTATATTACATAAGAAGATATGTCGATATATCGACGTAGTGGGGGAGATAAGTAAATAAACATCGTTGAATGGATATCTGAATCCAAATGGTATACTGCAATACTGACCCTTTTAAAATTCTAAGCCCTTTATCATTTATGTACAATGTACGCAATCTAAAAAATAGTGTGCAAGTTAGTATCGGGTGACTTGAAGATTCAATACATGAAGTTAAAAGCTTCGGTGTGCAATAATTCACTCGCACCTCCTATAAATCCTCACACAGTTAATATGAATATCAAGAAATGAATTTAAATATGGTATGAAAATATTTCATCTCCTTCATTTGCAAATAATAATGAATAGAAATGATGTCTGGAGTAACTCTGTAGTATTATGTAAAAGGGACAATATTACTCTTGAACTTATATAACCCTTATTTGGTAAATCGATTCAAAATATTCTAGTATATAAGATAGATTAACAGTGTCTAAACTGAGTTTTTAGAGAAAATTGAACTCAAAGTACTGGAGATATACAATCACACTTCATCCTATCTGACACACCGAGCTGCATCCGAGAGGTCAGTCAGACAGACTACCGGAGTAGACTGGACTTACTAATTAAAATGGTTTATGTCTCATCTTAGCTAGGTTTACTACACCTGACAGTTAACATCTTATTGTAATCAACTTAGATTTCTTCAACGATTTAAGATTGAAAAGCGCGGATCGTCCACGAATTACAACCGTTTATTAAGTAATATTGAAACAGTGTATTTTATGTTTAAAAACCATTCTTATGTTCATTTCATCTAGCCAGTTATATGTCTATAGCCTAATTCATACAGATTCATGAATTGGTAAATATGAAGAAAAAAAACTCTTTAAAAGCGCGTGTTAGTGAAAAAAATGCTTTATACAGAAATATATTTTATGTTTAACTATAGAAAACCAGACAAAATCATACAAAGAATTTCAAGTTTTACTGTTACCGAACCAGTAATAAAATGACTCTTCGATTTAAATAAAAATCAATATTAGGTTGAACTTACCGTTTCGCTAATATCTCATAAGTTTTTTCATCCGTTGATCTCCGCGACAAACAGCACGCACACTGCAACGACACAACATATATCTGTTTCCACGAACAATGGATCGCTGTAGTTTAAACTCTAAACAAATCTATTTGAAAACAAGCTCTATCTCTTGACAAAACAAAAAAGGCTTCAATGTAACGAACGTGAGGACAGCTATCGAAGTGAAGGGTAGACTGGCTCGCGCATTCCAGGGCCGCCCCTTGTCCCTTTAATCAAATAAGCCTGAAGGTCCCAGCAATAACACAAAAACTGCCTGTTAGAATTAAAGGAATTTTTAGAGATTTATGGCAGATGACTCTGGACCTGATGACAATAGCACCGTCGGTGTTAATTGCATCACGTGCGAATTTATGTCCCTATTTGGGACTTTCATGTTAGAACCGGTGTAGCTTCGGGGTCAATCCTGTGCCCTTTGTCAGTAAGTTTTATGATAGAGGTGTAAACGCGGCTTTTAACACGACGGAAAATACATGGTGAAATTAGAAATTAGAGAATTGCTTTTATCATTCATATCCCGTGTCAAAAGGTATTTTGTTTGAGCGCGTTGACACCCCGCTGTGTATATGTACTTTTACCATGATCCGTGAAACATGCGTTTGACATTCTAAATAAATACGTACCGGGTTTAGGTTATTGAAAATATGGGAGGGACAGAACAGAGCCAGCCGATTTAATACAGATGGACTTCGGGCTAATACGGCTTTATGTGATCTTGCTCGTTTTGTTTCGAGTTTATAGTCTATGACGACAGATAATAGTCTCTATCTATTACGTCAGTGCTGGTGCGATTTTCTTTGTAAATTTGCCATATTAAGATTTAATAGCCTCCCCAGTAATGGTTCTTCAAAAATTCTGTTTCAGATTATGGAGTTACAAAGACGTCGTTTCCTACCAAAGACAGAAATTCTTTAATCTTGAGGACAATCATTTATTATTAGAATTTTAATTATCCCCCATATCATTAAAAAGCAATTAAAACGCAAACAGGTTACCAGTTCTGCAGATTCAATGAAGATTTCCATGTTTATGGCGAGTCAAAATCGATATAAACACGAATTTTGTATTTTTCAACCAAATGACACAGGAGCTTCAATCATCATAAATAGGCTTTGTTTATCCTTTACAGTTTTCTAAGAAGTAAAATTGAAAAGTGTCGAAATCAGAGCACACAATACTATGACGTATATCACCAAGGCAACTAAGATGATTTGACGTTCCTATGAACTTTAATAATCTTGATATATATTTAGATAATTAGGAATTATAAAATTTTCATTAAATGATGAAAAAAGAAGACATGTTAATGACATGAACTATTTTAAAACGTTTGGAAAAATATTCAGTTGATTGTAATATTGAAGTTATGAGCACCTGGTGTGTTCTGGTAACAACTTATTTTCTAAAAAATCAGAATAAAATATTCATGTTTTCGTTAAATAGAAAGTTTGATAATTCTTTTACGAACACAGGAAGGTTTTTGACCATCAACATAGCATACACTTGATGCCCCAAAGGTAACGGAAATTGCCAATATAGTACTTTGTACGTACTTGTAGCGACCTAAGTTGTACAAAATTACTATAATTACTTAATTATTATATGCCGTGAGAAAACTCGCCAATATCAGGTGTTCAAGAAGTTTACTTATATAATTAATTATAATTAGACTCTTTAAGTGTAATAAATATATTAATTATACTTGCAGGTGTCATCGCAGATAAACCATATTGAAGCGTGACAGATTAGTTAGAACATAGTGCATGTTGAAGGAGAGAGGAACCCTATTGTAGCATATTGCTTTCGTATTTCGTGTTATACCTGAACACCACCATATTTCAGAAGTATAATGTATAAGGTAGCATACCACCTTAACACCACCAAAAATAGATGTGTAAGGTAGCGTACCACCTTAACACCACTAAATATAAGATGTGTAAGGTAGCGTACCACCTAACACCGCCAAAATTAGATGTGTAAGTTTGTTTAACATCTTTACATCGCCAAATATTAGATGTGTAAGGTAGCATACCACCTTAACACCGCCAAAATTAGATGTGTAAATTTGTTTAACATCTTTACACTACTAAATATTAGATGTGTAAGGTAGCATACCACCTTAACACCGCCAAAATTAGATGTGTAAGTTTGTTTAACATCTTTACACCACTAAATATTAGATGTGTAAGGTAGCATACCACCTTAACACCGCCAAAATTAGATGTGAAAGTTTGTTTAACATCTTTACACCACTAAATATTAGATGTGTAAGGTAGCATACCACCTTAACACAGCCAAAATTAGATGTGTAAGTTTGTTTAACATCTTAACACCGCCAAAAATTAGATGTGAAAGTTTGTTTAACATCTTTACACCACTAAATATTAGATGTGTAAGGTAGCATACCACCTTAACACAGCCAAAATTAGATGTGTAAGTTTGTTTAACATCTTTACACCGCCAAATATTAGAGGTGTAAGGTAGCGTACCACCTTAACACCACCAAAAATAGATGTGTAAGGTAGCGTACCACCTTAACACCACTAAATATAAGATGTGTAAGGTAGCGTACCACCTTAACACCGCCAAAATTAGATGTGTAAGTTTGTTTAACATCTTTACACCGCCAAATATTAGATGTGTAAGGTAGCATACCACCTTAACACCGCCAAAATTAGATGTGTAAATTTGTTTAACATCTTTACACTACTAAATATTAGATGTGTAAGGTAGCATACCACCTTAACACCGCCAAAATTAGATGTGTAAGTTTGTTTAACATCTTTACACCACTAAATATTAGATGTGTAAGGTAGCATACCACCTTAACACCGCCAAAATTAGATCTGTAAATTTGTTTAACATCTTTACACTACTAAATATTAGATGTGTAAGGTAGCATACCACCTTAACACCGCCAAAATTAGATGTGTAAGTTTGTTTAACATCTTTACACCGCCAAATATTAGATGTGTAAGGTAGCGTACCACCTTAACACCGCCAAAAATTAGATGTGTAAGGTAGCATACCACCTTAACACCGCCAAAATTAGATGTGTAAGTTTGTTTAACATCTTTACACCGCCAAATATTAGATGTGTAAGGTAGCGTACCACCTTAACACCGCCAAAATTAGATGTGTAAGGTAGCATACCACCTTAACA